CCTTTGGTTTTTGAAACAGTGGAAGAAATTTCGTTGAAATATATTAGTATGAACAAATATATTTTCAAACTTTTTCAGTATTGAAAGGAAATCTCTACACTTTGAGACTTCTGTCTAACGAATCTAAGACTATTAGATATACGTATGAGGTGGCTGAGTTATTTTTGCTTATCTAAAACCGCCGAATCTTCATTAATTAATGATAGTCATTAAGTATAATCATTGGGGTAATCTTTTCAGTTTGCCCTTCATTACATTCTCCCTTCATCAGATTCTCCACAAAAAATATTTTTCAAAAACTATTATTGCTCAACTCCGCCCAACCATGATGCCCTGTACTAGGTCAGTTAAAAAAAATAGGGTGAATGTTCAAATTTCGTGGGCATTCAATTAGCGATTTTTCAATTTGTTATGTTGGTACACTCGTCTCGAAGATACGTTCACAGTTTCAGCTGTTTAACATGTTTAGTTTGTTGCGTGTTAGGCGCATGAGCATCAGTCAGCAATTGTTGAATGACGTCATCAAATCATGACGTCGGCAAATCATGACGTCGGCAAATCATGAGGCGTTTTCTGGCGTTCATGTATTCAAAATGTATTCGTCTGTGATTCAAATACATTCATTCTGGCGTTGAAACGATGACGTCACATCAACTAAAATTTGAAACGTATTCATCATGATTCAAAACTAGCGAGAGGTTGGTTTTGAAACGACATTTGACATTACGTTACGTCAGTTGTCAATTTCTGCTTTATTTTGATCATTATAGTTTATAAAGTGCGATACGTTGCGAGGATGTACAAAATGAAGCTGGAAAATTATTACTTGTATAAATCCGATTATAATTGACGTTAGAGAAAATTGAAAAGTTTGTTTTTATTATTGAATTTGACATCTGACAGAAATTGAATCATTCTATTCTGGCGAATATTATTATTAATGACGTGACTACGAATCGCTTTTGAATACACGTTTGAATACGATTAAACGTCAGAAAACACCTATGGGTCAATGGTTATGACATCGAAACCAAAGTTCAATCGTCCCAATGAAAGAGCCCAGAAGAGCCAATACAAAAAAGGCACGCCAAGTTCGATTAAATGTCAACTCAGATCCACTTCAGTGTGGGCTCCCCCTGTAGTAGCAATATAATTTTGAAACTCCTGGCTGGATATCCCTGGCAGCTGAAGCCATTAATGGAAAAAGAAGAACTGCTAACTGTTTTTTCTTCGACTACCGTGGCGTGGTGCATCTTGCCACGAGCTGCTAACCGTAGCGAAATTCCACTACCGTAGTGGAATTTACTCGACGGTAGCGGCGTAGCGGTTTTGAACATAAAGTAGCGGAATTTTCTACAAATAATCAATATTGAAAAACATGGAAGAAGAAGAGGCAGTGGACAGCAATCGAAGCTGACAGCTGACAATTGATTGCACAGTCAATACGTTATAGTCTTAGTAGCAGAGGCCATTACATGATGAAAGAGAAGAAGAATATTTTTGGATATTTTCATTACTATCATAAACCATATAACCTTCAATATCTTGGGACTAAAAGTCTCGACTGTCAGGAGTATTATGAATTATATGCAAAAAATTACAGTGGAAAGCAAACTTTTTCTCAACATTGGTTGTCTGATTCCAACTTGAAAGGACAGATTAGATCTGTCGCAAATGATTGTTCAAGAGCTCAGTCTGACTATACGTACGTGAACAAATTGATATTTATTTTCACTTTTCAAAATCATTATTTCAAGCTAAGAAATATTTGGTCGAAACGACAGCTTTCAAAAATTAACTGCTGAAAACATAGAAAATCAGGTACCATCTACTGAGTTGCACTGTGGAAAATCAGCATGATCCTGATTCCTGACAATTAGTGACAGTTCAGTTTTGTGGTAGCGGAATTTTGATTCATATGTAGTGACTTTATAGTTCATTCGGTTGGCAATACTGCCACATGGTCGTACGGTCAGTAAGGAGTATTATCTTCAAGTTATGTGCCGATTGCGAGAAATAATACGAAGAAAATGTCCGGTGAATTTCACTAGTTCGGACTTCCATTGTCTACTATATAAAATGATTTGAATTGATTGATTTATTGTTGCTTAATATAATTTGTTATTTTCAACTATTCTTTTTTAATTATTCTTTTTTACTTGTTTCAGGGATTTCAAATCATTTTATATAGTAGACAATGTAAGTCCGAACTAGTGAAATTCATCACGAAATATTGTAAATCACCTTCAAACAAATGGGTTTGGAGAATTGTCCTCTCGTTAGTTAGTTAATTAGTTACTGAGTAAGATCCACTGATGATTCGTACGAATGAACTGAAAAGTTTCCATCAGTGGAATGAGATATCTGTTTGAAATCTTCATTTCCACACCAGGAATACAGCATTTTTTATTTCTTTGGCAAAAGTGTTCTTTTTCCAGCGTGAGGGAAATGTGTTTTTATTACACTCATTTTTCAACCGAGGTTCCAATCCTACTCGACTTTAAATATTTATAAAATAGGAAAATACAGAACGAAAGCCCGAAGAAGGTTTTTGGAAGTTATTTATTTTTTCATGAGTTTTGATAGTCTATAGTCCGTTCATAATTTGTCGATAGCACAAAATGAGGGCCCAAGTCATAAAACGGTCGTAAAACTCGTAAAATCATAGGCGGAGGTTCCTGAGGTGTTTATTCATTAAATATAAAGCTTCAGTTTATATTCGAAACTTGCCTTGAAAGGGTGAAGTTGTTACGAACGAAAATAATTTTTGGTTTAGTACATTTTTTAATCGCATTTAATTTACGGCTCGTTGGTGTTTCGGCGTCTACGGCAGTAATTAACGTCTCTAATATTTATTTTGCGAATTTTGTGCAGTG